AAATCGACACAGATTATGTCAAACTATTTTTTTCCTCACAGAGCTATTCTTACTTAAACAATAATTCATTCCATGAAAACTTTCTTTTATTGAAATGAAGTAATAAAGAATATTAATTTACTTAAAAAATTATCTTTATTGCTGAAAGTATTACAGATGTCCCCTTTTGAGCCAAAGAGCAAAACAAATATTAAACAGAAGAAAGGAATTTAAGTAAGGGTACTTGAGTTCTATTCCATAGTGGAGATGTTTCTAGATTCAGAGCAAAGGCATATACTTAACTTGGTTTCAAATAGGTTGATGATTCTGGCTTCCCCTATAGTAAGGCTAGTGAACATAATTTAGAGCCATTTCCTGAGTAATTGCAACATGATTAGATTTTGCAATTCCTCATATGCGTGTTGGCTGGTGTGGTTTGAAATAATTAGATTACAGGGTGGTCCAATTACTTGGTGTAAACAGTCATGCACACACCCTAATGCTTAATTACTGTGAGTAAATCAATCCCACCCCAGATTCACCGGCTGAAACTAACAATAGTTTTCTTTAACTATACTTTCACAGTGTAAGGAACTCAAGGTGCTGGCTAAGACCCACGATTAAAACTTCAGCAGTTAAAACAAGAATCTGCAATTCTACCCTGATTTAAGCTTTACAGTCATTTCTCTCTCGGACAATCTCGGACAATTGTTGGGGTCCAGCCCCAGCAGGTCCAGGGGTTCCCAAAGGTGTGGACGGAGTCGGCGAAGAAGGAATGACAGTGTTCAGTTGATCAGCATAGCCAGGTTCTCTCTTTATTGTCCTGTTACATCTGTATTTATACCAGTTGATTTTAATCCTATCCATTCTATTCCAAAGGTTAGGGCTTATCTCCATTCCAAGGTTACTCTATTGTTCTATCAAGCTACAAGGAAGTAACTGAAGGAGACTATCCTAAGTAAAGATTATGTAGTTTAAGCGTGATTGTTCGTAGTTAAACTACCCGTCTGGCACTTAGTTAAGGGGTTTTATGGATTTATTCCCTTCCTTAGTCCTGTTTAATCCCTAATTCCAGGGAAAAAATCCCCACCTGGGGAAACAACCTTTCTCGGGGAGGTGGTCCTGTTTAAAACACATAGCACTAAGAGGGGGAGCAAACATATGCCATATCCGCCAGGTCCCTTGAAACATAAGCTGTGCAGATGTTTCTTCCCTGCAGGGACTGTGTCAAGCAGCAAGGGTGGACCGGCTTCTGGCAAATTCCCCCATTTTTATTTTTTAAATGACAGCATGTGTAAATCAGTGGCCACCTCTCAGATTGGGTTGTTTAAGACTCGGAAGAAGACTTGTTTGTGACTTTGCCAACAGGTCAGTCCGAGGCTTAACCCTGTATCGGCTCCCCACAGACAATTTTTAAAAATGCAACACTTTCAACAATATAGAATTTAAATTAAAAAAATAATACTCAGAATAGAAAACAAAAAACCTTTCTTTGCTGATCATAAAATACTATGCTGTACACCTGAAGCTAATACAAAATAATATTGAATGTAAACTAATTGACAAACAAAATTTTAAAAAAAGGAAAAAATCTTAGCTCTTTTGTAAGAAATTACACCTGGGTCTTGTCCAGGGAAATTTACCATTCAAGTTAAAGAAGTCTTAGGACATTATGGCTAGTTACAAAGAAATACTATCTGCAATGGAAAACACCTATCCTATTTACGCTGAGATAACAGCCAAGTAAAATCCATGAAGCTATTGCTGATTTCGCCGTTATTATTCATAGGCCATCAGTTCCACTTTCTTGCTGGGTTTTAACAGAAGTTCCTAGGCCAGGGAAGGGGAGGAAGCCTGTCCGTCCAAGGCCAGGGGCCGCCGCTTGGTGCGATCCGCCCGAGGGCCCCAGGCTGGGCCGGCGGGAAAAGCGAGGCTGCAGAGCGGAAGGGACAGGGGCTAATTAAGTTAACCCGGGGGCGCGCTCCCGCTGGGCCCGCGGACCGGGGCTCGGGCAGAGCCAAGGGCGGGGACTCCTCCGATTCAAATTTCGAGCGGGCCGCCCGCGCGAGGCTCAGCAGGTGCCTCGGCCCGGCGGCGGGCATTTCCGCCTTACCTGCCCGCAGGGCCGGAAGTCACCTAGCGGAGGCGCGGCCCCACCCGGTGGCCGGCGTTTCAACCGCGCGGAAAGCCTCAAAGTGTGCGCCCACGTGTAGTCACGAGTCTCCACGCTCTGGGCCGCGGGCGCCCTGCCCTGCCTTCAGAATGCCCTGGGCCCGGGGAAACCGGGGCAAAGCTGGGGGGAGCGAGGAGGAGGAGGGGGAGGGCTGTGCGAACCCCGGGCGCTCCACGTACCCCCACTGCACTGGGTACGCGCTGGAGGGAGCCACGAGAGGTCGCGCATGCGCCGACTGTCCTTCAGGCGCGTGGAGAGAGTCGCGCATGCGCAAAGCCCAGACGGGAAAGTGGAGCAAAGGGGTGACTGGCAGGTTGAGGGCGCTTCAGCGACTAAGGAGCCGCGGCGGCCGGGAGGCGCGTGCGCAGAGCGCCCGAAGGGGCGGGGCTCCTCCACGCGGGCGGCCTTGTGCGCCCCCTGTCGCGCGCCCGGGGACGGAAGGCGCGGAGGGGCGGGGAGGAG